CCCACACTAGCTGGAGAGGGAGCTGACCTATGAGAAATTTGTGGAGTGGACTCGTTCAGACATGATGCGTCAAACTGAGGTTGAGGTGAAGCTGCCTCGCTTCAAGATGGAGGAGACGTATAACTTGAAAGATGTTCTGACCAGCATGGGCATGGTGGACGCTTTTGATGTCACAGGGAGTGACTTTTCCGGTGAGAAACGCACCATAAATGTATAATTATTCTAAGAGCACAGCATATCTGAACAGACAAATCAATGTACTCTCTCTCCTCTGCTGACAGGCATGTCCCCAGCAAACGACCTGGTGCTGTCACAAGTCGTCCACAAGGCTTTCGTGGAGGTCAACGAGGAGGGAACGGAGGCTGCTGCTGCCACTGGTGCTTTCATGATGGTGACCTCTATAATGATTCCTGCCACATTCATCGCAGACCACCCCTTCCTCTTTTTCATCCGACATAACCCCACCATGAGCGTTCTCTTTGCGGGCCGATACTGCTCCCCCGAGTGAGAACTACTGTGGGCCCTGCAGACATGGGAGGATTATGAGACAATGGGTCCCTGAGCACAGACATGTAAAGGGCCCCGACACCATCCTATGTGAGAATGAGAGCCACAGATTAAAATTAAAGACATGTTTTTGGTAATTTTGCATCTTTGTCTTTGTGGTTGTATCCTGTCTCTTGGTTGTTCTGGGTCTCGTTTTGGTCATTTCGCAACTCTGTGGATGTTTAGCGTCTGTTTGGTCCTTTTATATCCAATTGTGACTTCCCAACAAAAATTCCAGGAGAAACGGTAGCCTTCTTCACTAATCCGTCCATGCCTGTAGAGCACAGTAATTCAGCCAGGGGAGGGATATATCTATTGAAGCTACTATATATGACTATGATGCAAATAGGTATTGCTGGAAGAAATGGAGAATCACTGCTCTAGAATATGTGTGTAAATTCTCATCATTGTTCCTGTCCAATATTTTCAAAACCCAGATTTTGCTAGAGAGCCTTTAAAAAGAAACTAATGTATGGTACTAGATCGAATAAAAGTCCATATTGGAGCTTGGTGGGTTTAAATCTTAGTCATGTCTTTTTGTGCATGCATTTTACTCAATGAGTCTGTTTGTCCACCTTCTGTTTGTCATCCTGCACAAATGTGACTGTGAGCCACATCATACACACTGCACCATTACATTCATCCTCCCATCCATTCATCTGTCACAAAATGGAAAGTTGTCAGTTGTTATAAGTAGTTGTAGTTGTAGTTGTTGTAAGTTATCAGTTGTTTGCGCAAGTCTATTCTTTGCAGGTGTGTAGCACCTCTAGTTCTAAGCAATGATAGCAATAGACACTAACAGCTAACTAGGTTCGGGGAGCGGTATGCCTTGTGTAACTCATGAGAGGAGTTGGTATTGAGCTGAACTGCTGACAGTTTTATTGCCTTACAGCAATAACAAAACTTGTACAATACTGCACTTTGTATAGAGAAAATTGAAATAAAAATAGAGCTTGTTAAAGTACCAAATATAATAGAAAAAAACCCAAAGAATAAGTCCCCTTTAAGAGGATATCTTCAAAGCATGCTCCTTTAAATGAAGGAGTTTGAGATTCAAAGAGTTCAGTTCCTTGTCTTTGTGTGAGTGTTGTGTTGGGGCCGCATCTTTTGAACACAGACAGAAATCGCCCCCCTCCCTGGTGCCATGTGCTCTCAATAGCCTCCAAAACACTACAGCAGGTCATAATCAAATGGATTGATTATCCATACAAACATAAAAACAGCTACAAATCAAATCACACTACAAACACATATATATATATATAAAATGAAAAGTGAGGCCCCATCCGGGCCACACGACAGACAGTTGTGTCTGCCCCATAGTCAGGAGGAGGTCTGAGGCCCTGTCCACATTACTCCGTTTTTACTTGGATGCAGATTTGTCAAATAGAGGCTCTCCGGGGATTCACATCTCCTTTTTCCCCCCAAAGTCTCTGAAAAGTCTCACATTACATATCGATCAGCTCAATGATTGGCTGAAGTCCAATAAGCCCCTCCTGGGCCGATGACCCATTGTTTTACTCTTAACACCTCACCCAGCCACTTTCCAACCCCTGCTCTCAGCACATTCCTTAACCTGATCACACAGACACTCAACCACACTCCTTGGTTAAAACTCCTACAAGTAAACACACTGTGACACATAATATCCAGCACTAGGAGCGCTTTAAACTTAAATTCCTCATAGTTGGGTGTAGGAGACATTGTGTAGTGTGTACGTGTTCTTATCTGGTGTCTCAATGATCGAATGAAGCTTATCAGACATCTTCTGTGGCCACAACACTTCCACATCCATCCACAGTCTCATTGGGCTGGGCTCGCCAATATGGCGAAATTAAAATACAAATGTACGTATATATTTAATGTAATGACTTTTCCTATAACTGAGCACAAAGAAATTTATTAGCGCTGTCTTTATATCTGAATATCTTACAATTCCAGAAGTTCTCCTCTTTATGTAGACATAATTCTACCATCTGTTTGATGTACTGAGTAAACCAAAAGAGGAAAAGCAAAGACACTTATGTTTAAACACTGAGTTATAATACCTACTTTAGTAAAATTATCCAAAGTACAACAAAATGTACCGATTATTTTATCGTATACATATACTGAACAATGAACATGGAGTAAAGACAGAAGTGTTTACATTAAGGTTGTGCCGCTGCCACTGGGTGAAGACTGATTTGCTTTCATAGCTAGAATACAGTCACTACAAGACGAATAGCCTACATTATAGCAAAAACAGAAACAGCAAGTGAACTGTGAGCTAAAGTAAACTAACAAATGTTTATTTTAAAAGCTACCCTGGCTGTAATTTTAATTCCACAGAATGAGTGAATCAATGTAATGATTATGTAGTTAGGGTGAATCGATGAAAGTGGCTGGAGAAGCACACACAAGTTGCATCAAGCACACTAACATACATATTATCAATATGCAACATGAGTCCCTCGATTACTTGCCTTCATCTCAAAGAAGTCTTCAGATGAGCTCCATCTGGTGGAACATCACAGTGTTGTAACGTTGTCTCGACAGTCTTGTATCAGCCTCAAGTTTTTGTTCATCTATCGAGCAAGTACACAGCACATCTGCATTCCCCCAGCTATCAAGCACATTCTCCATCTTAAGTTAAAGATATGAATCTAAATTCCCGTCTGTTCGTCCCTCTATCAAGAGCACAATTTTGTAGGAAAGCCACGTTAAAACTGGCTCACTGAACCCACACATTTACATCCAAAGGTAAAAAACTGAAAGTCTCCCAATTGTTGCCCAGTCGGTTGTTTAGAATTCTAATGAGTGATTTTCCTGATGATTATGTGTATTTTAGAAATAGTCTTTGCCTGTAGTTGAGTAGGAAAATCACACTGTATCATTTGCTATCTCAGACAAACACTCTGATCTGTTGCACCCACACATCATTAGTAATATGCAATATAATGTAATGTTACCATTTGAGTGTGTTGAGAGTGGACTATAATAAAAGAGGATTTTGTCAGCTACTGAATCCAAACTATTACAACAGTATGTATTCTTGTGCATGTATAAAAGGAGTGTGGTTTGAAAACATTGTACATTTATACAAATAAAAAGCTCATTAGCTGTATTTCCCAAACATAGAATATAGTAATACAGTAGCACACATATGATCAAACATCTGCAAGCAAAACCAGGGATCTCGTATTTCCAGAACTATTTATCACATAATTATTGTCTACAAAACACATTCTAACTGCCCCACCTCTAATCCATAGTCACGGCACAGGTAGTTCCAGAGAAAGTATTTGTTGTTACTTCCAGGGAAATTAAGCCTTCATACTGGCATACTCCAAAAAGAGATGAAAAAAGTATTCAAACGGAAAACACAAGATTACAATGTTTTTTCTCTCTTAAACTGGTTGGCTCGTTTTGACACAGGGAATAATGGAAGTAATGTAAATAAATAACTCAGTCCAAGTTCTCTGATGAAGGTTTTGTTTTCCTCAGTAATATTAATTTAATTTCATCCCCTTGATCTCGTAGGCAACTCATTTATGTAGAAATAACACTTACAATCATATGAGCACTTCCCTTCTTTTTGCAGGAATCTTTTGTCATCGACATCACAAAATACTCTCAGGAAAAACGATGTATTCACAAATAGATCCACTTTTTGGGAATGTACTAAATCAAGCCTAATTACATCAAGCCACAAAACTAAACCCTGTGTTTATTATTACAGTAATAATAGTTACTCTATAATAATAATTATACAGCAATAACTTTAGAAAGAATGAGAAAGCTGAAAACTATTTTCTCCGTACGGCTTCCGTACAATGAGATGTGAGCATTAAGGCTTATTCACATCCATGGGCTGTGTCTCAATTCGGGGTCTACATCCTTCGGAGGACCCAGCCTTCGTGGTCTGTGGGCCATGTCCTTTGAGGACCGCACGTTTGCTGACATTTGTTTTGCTGCTGTTAATGTTAACTGTCTTGATTGATTTCCTCTGCCTTAGGATTGCTATATATATATATATATATA